GGGGAAGTGCCTGGTCTCTGCGCTTTAGTCAGAGGCAAGTGATGGGGCAGAGGCGGAGTAATGGGGGCCTGTGCTCTACAGAAGGTCAGAGCCGATGAGCCGGGGTCCCAGAGCAGAGTGTAGGGGGTGCGAGCGTGGAGGGTCTGCCCCCTCCCTCCGTTACATGGTGCTGGGTTATTCCCCCAGGCCGAGTCTGGTGGTTTCTGCCTCTGTCTGAACACAGGTCCTCTGGGCTCTTGCTGGGGAGGCAGCTCCTCCCAGTTTGATGCCATCTGAATAGAACCCAGGAGTCCTGGCTTCCAGTTCCTGATGTGCCTAGTAGGCCACTCGAGCTGCCAACGTGGGAGCGATCCATTCCCTCCCCACACTCCTCTGCTGCCTGACTAATGGACTCTTCCTGCCCCACAGGAGATACACGGAGAAATATGGGACGCCGCGGGGTGATGGGAGCCACTGAGGTGCCCCTCACCCTCCTGCCTGTGGCGTGCGCAGGGCTCGGGCCCGTTGGGAGCGTGACTTCAGCATGGCCGTTTTGCATGATTCACAGCACTGCAGTGGGATCCCAAAGCCTCCGAACCAGCACGCTTGAGATGCAGCGGGGCCTTCGCGGCGTGAGCCAGCCCAGGCAGGCAGTGCCCAGCTGGCCACGGTGGGGCAGTAAGTGCCTGTGTATCCCCGCATCACACCCGACCTGCCTCCGGCTAGCCAGACAGGGTTGGACAGCTGAAACCGGGCTGCCCTGCCCCCACCCCCATGGCGGACTGGACTCAGCACCAGCCTGGCCCAGCCTTCTCCACTTGGGCTGTTGTGTTAAACTGGCTGAAGGGGGTTTCTTCTCAGCTACAAAAAATAAATCTGACTCTCTTACAGCCAGGTCCCAGGGCTTGAGATCACTGGGGGGCAGGGGGAGCCTTTTGACCTCTCTGGGGAGGCGGGGGGAGAGGGGCTCCTCTTCCAGGCCAAGCTTTAACCAATGGGGCCCAGTGTTCTGGTCCTGAAGCTGCCCGGGCTTGACCCTGGAGAACTGCAGGCCCCTTAGCACTGATGGCTGTAGGCCCCAGTTATTTCGAGTGTGTCTATCCCTGTTCTCAGTCCTCTGGCCTTCCCAGAGTGGTGGCCGTACCGCCCCGGCTGGGCTTGGCCTCAGGCCTCCCACTGGCACTGTTAGATGGGCAGAGGTACCGGGGGTGCTGGACAGGCTCGTTGGGGGTGACTCCCACAGCTGCAGAAAGATTGCTGCACAGCATGCTCTTGGGAGACTCTCTGGGCGGGCACAGGACAGAAGCGATGCCCGAAGGAGAGCCTGTGCCTCCCTCATGTGTTCCCTGTGTGGGGTGGTGGGGGTGGACAGGTTCCACCCTCTGAAAACTCTGTGAAGAAAGGGGTCTGTCTGTTCTTTGCCTGGCACCTGAGCTCCTCCCTGCAGAGCAGCTCCTCCCCCAGCTGCTCAGGGGCTCACCAACCCTCCTGGAGCAGGAGAGAGGGGGCTGGCACAGACCTGTGTTCCTGGAGCTTTAGCTCCGTCCTCTGGGTGTAGTAAGTGGCCCGTCCCCTCCTTTTCCTGCAGCTGGCCTATTGAGCGCCAGAGGCACCAGCTCCCTGACTTTTGAATAATTGGCTGCAAATAAAAAATGATGGTAGGGTGACGAGACAGCAAATGTGAAAAATCGGGATGGGGGTGGGGGGTAATAGGAGCCTATATAAGAAAAAGACCTAAAAATCAGGACTGTCCCTATAAAATCGGGACATCTGGTCACCCTAACTGATGGTGAGTGACACGCTGCTGCCAAGTCCCGCTCAGCTGGCCTCTGGGAGAGGAGCTGCTTTGAATGGGATCCTCGGGGTTCTCCCACTGCATGGCAGGGTCGGTGGTCTCTGCTGCAAAGGGACGCAGGCCCATCTTGGGGCTGGGCAGGGGACGGTGCACTGACTTTCCATTGGGAGGTGGTGTGGGGGGAGGTGACCAGGAATGGGCATGGTGCTAGGACAGAGAGGAGAAGGCCATGCTCTGCCTATGGCCTGCACTGCCCTGGTGTGCGGAGCTGGGCCTGGTCCCTCGTGCACAGCAGTGAGGGCTGGGCCCAGGGCCCAGCAGGCCGAGTCCCAGCCAGCTCTGCTTTTGCTTTAAAAAAAATCAGCTGTGTGTGTCTGCAAAGACAATCAGGAACCATCTACATGTCCAATGCAGGGCTGCCTGCCTGAGTCTGCTCAGAGCCTGGAACAGGAGGGTGCTGCCTGTGCAGGGCCCTAGACCTGTCACTCACCCCCCCACTGCTCCAGCAGTCTCTGCCACCCCCCACCCAGCAGGGCCTCTGTGGGGCACTTTGCTAACAAGCTGCTCTGGAAGGGGCGGGACTAAGGTCCCAGTTTGCCTTAATCCAGGCCTAGAATGGCCAAGACGGGGGAGGGAAGCTCCCTGGTTGAGTGGGAGCCGGGCGGGGCGCTTGTTCCTCCCCCATTTATGGGGGTGGCCTTGCAGGGGCTGGAATGAGCCGGGGGGAGGCTTTGTAATGGCCCCAGCAAGGCGACAGCGGGGGGTGGGGGGACATGTCTAATGGTTAGAACAGGGCAAGGAGCCAGGACTCCTGAGTTCTGGCCTGGGGTGGGGGGGTTAGAGCAGGGAGGGACTCGAGCCCTGGCTCAGCACAGAATCTGGCCCACGGTCCCACGATGGCTGGGTCCCATCCCACCGCACCCAGTTGTGGGCCGGTTTGGGCAGGGGCTGGTCCTGTACCACAGCTGGGTTCGGGCACTGGGGGAGGCATCACTGCAAACCATTTCCTCCCCCGCTCTCCATGGATGCTGCAATCCCAGGGGTGCTAGGGGGTGTCATGCATGTCCAGCCCATAGGACATGCCCTGTGTCCCCATGGGTACATAGGGGGCCTGCAGGGGGGCACCGACAATTCCCCTGGCCCAGCGCCTCCCCCCCCTCCCCTAAGCCGCTGCTGCCCGTCCAGCTACCATGGTGTCATGCAGTGACATGCGCTGGCGGCCAACTGGGTCACACCAGACCCACTCCCAGGGCGCACCCTGCACTGATGTGAGCACAAGGGTGCCCTGGGCTGAGCTGGCATCTGCCTGGTGCCGGCTCGCAGCTGCTACTCACCCCCCACAGGGCAAGGCCTTGTGCCCACCCACCTGGCCAGCCTCCTGCTGGTGGGCCCGGCATGTGCAGCATTACTGGTGCTGCCCCCCAGCGGGGGGCTAAGGGCAGCAGGGTACCAGGCGACCCAGGGGCCGAAGGAAGCTGGTGACGCAGGGCCCCAGATGTGGCTGCCAGGATGAGTGAATGTCTCAAAAACCATTTTTTTTGAGGCAGCTGCGATGTGAAGGGGGTGGGGGGCAGGGAGCCAGGTCTCCTGGGTTCCAGTCCTGGTTCTGGGAACGATGTGGGGGTCTAGTGGTTAGAGCAGCGGGGGGGTGGGCTGGGTGTTCCCCCCTCTTCCCCCTGTGTCTCTCCAATGGGCTGACTGGGCCCCTGGTGGGGGGGGGGTCTGACCATTGCAGGATTCGTTGTGGTTGCTGTAGGTTTGCCTGTGCTCACAGACTCCGACTGGACGGCTGCAAGGGCTGGATCGGGACATGCTGCGCCTGGGTGTGGGAGCAGAAACCCCCCACCCCGCGGCTGCCCCAGGGACCCTGTGCTCCAGCTGGCCCCAGAGCTCCTGGGGTGGTCCCGGGCCACTTGCTCTTCATGGGAGGGGGACGGGATGCCAGCGAATCTTGTGCCCCTGCCCAGCTGGCTCAGAGATGCAGCGACTTTGTTCGCCTGAGCTGCTGGGCTTAGGCCAGCCCCCTCCCCTCCCCGCCTCCAGGGTAACGCATCCCACCCCGCCTGCCTTGCCCACTAGTGCCCCCCATCACCCCTTCCCCTCCAGTGCTCCCTGTGAGCACCTCCCCCAGCCCCCTTAGTCTGTTTTGTCCTTAGGACTTTGCCTTCACGCTTTCCCCACCTCCCCGCCACTGCTGGCCTGAGGTCGGGGCTGCGCACTGATTTGCTGAGGCGCAGGCTGGAGGATTTAGTCGCTTTATTGGCAGGCAGCTGGAGGCATCCCATGGCCCCAGGCACATGAACCCCAGCAGTGCGGTGGGTACGCGCTGGGAAAGCAGCGGGGCCTGGCCGGCTGGGGGTGGGCAGAACACAAAGCCTGGGGCTGCCCCAGCCCTAGGTCGGCTCAGCTGGCGCAGAGCCCATGGTGGGGACGCACAAGCCCATCATGCTGCAGCCCGGTGGGGAAGGCGGGGGCGAGAGCAGCAGCAGCAGGCCGGCTCCTGCCCCACACGGGAGGGGCTCAGTCCATGGGCGCTGCCCGCAGTGCGGGAGGCCGGCTGGGACCAGGCGATGGGCAGTGGCCGTGGCTGAACTGATCTGCGGTTGCTGAAGAGGGTCCCCAGCGGTGCTGCAGGCAGCTCACTGCACCATGGCTCCAGGGGTCGCAGCCTTGGGGAGGGGCTGATACAGAGACTATTCCAGCGCTGCTCTGGGACCAGTGGGGGGGGGGGTGTATGGGTGCTCAGGGGCCACCCACCTCCAGCCCCGCCCAGGGACAGCGCAGCCCTAGGGGGTCAGGACCTGGCAAACCGTCCTGTACCAAGGGGCTGACCTGCTGGGGATTGTTCCTGCCGAGTGTGTGGACTGAGTCTATCAAACACTAACTGCTCGGCAACCGGGCAGCAGAGCCCCTGGTCTCCCGGCCTCACAGCACACGGACAGGCCGTAGAACTGAAATATTTCCCCCAGGCAGCATTTGCCTGTGGAACTCACTGCCACAGGATGGCTTAGGAGCTGGGCCTTAGAACGAGAATATCCAGAGCACAACTAGTTCGTAGGAAAAGGAGAGCTGGGGAAGGACCGAGAGCCCTGCTTCAGGAATGCAGCTGACCTCTAACTCCTGGGGCTGCAGCAGCCCTTCACTGGGGCAGATTTGCTGACTGCCATGTTTCCTACACCATCCTCAGTGGGGCAGACGGCCCTAGACCTGACCTAGGCTGGTGCCTCCTGTGAGAGGGAGGCTGAGCTAGGCTGGGGCTTCTGCCGCTCCAAGCACATGGGAACTGGAGTGAGGGGGTGGTGGGATGCTCGGGCTGCTGTAGGAAAGACGAATGAGTCTGGCCCAGGGCTCAGCCGGGGAGGGGGAGGGGGTGGCGGGTGCAGGAGCATAGAGGGCACAAAGGGGTGGGGGCCGGACCAAGCAGCCAGCAAACACCTCCATCAGCAAAATCACCCTCCTGAGCGGGACAGCGAGGGGGCCGGTCATGGGCACTGGGGCAGCTCAGGTCGGGGATATGCGCTTGGATTTGGGGGGTGGCGGGGGCGGTGATTTCAGCCCTTTACTTCCATCCACTGTCAGCTGCTAAAACAAAGAGAAACAAACATTAGTGAGTGGCTCGGGGGGGGCTGGGCCCTGCTCCCCTGTGGCTCTGGGGGGCTGGGCCCTGCCCCCCATGTGGCTCTGGGGAGATCCTGCAGCCCAGGCCATGGCCAGTACCTTCCCACTGTTGGGTGCGGCGTTCTGCTCCATGAAGGTCTCGTACACGCTGGAGCTGATTTTGCGGGGCAGTGGGGGGGCCTTGCTGGCACTCTTCACCCGTCCTGTGAAGCCCCGGGTGGACCCTGACGCCCCTGCACACAGAGAGGAGGACACAGCGCTGAGCCCTGCCCTGTCATGGCAGCTGGAGCAAAGCCGGCGCTACCCCGTGGCCTCCTGGTGCCAGCTCCGCGGCTGGGCACATACGGGCTGTGAGGGAGTCAGCAGGCCCTCCGGAGAGCCGAGCCAGGCCGGGACCGGCCACTCCCCGTACAGCCTCTGGGTTTCGGACCGTCTGGCCGCATGGATTCCGCCCTTGGTTCGTGTTGGCCCTGCGGGTAGGAGAGCAGCACAGGGCACTGGGGTGGTGCCCAGGTCTGGCCTGTTCTCCCCCCGCCCGACCCAAAGGCATAAATGGCCCCTCAGGCCCTTCACCCTGGCCAAATCCCAGAGCTCTAGGGGGGCAGGGGAGGGCAGGGAGAGGGCTTCGCATGGCCAGGGCACCTCAAAGACCCCCCAGGCACTGTACGGTGATGACCGGCCAGTGTCCTTGTGGGCCCCGGCCGCTACCTCAGTGCTGGGCCATGGGAGCTGGGAGCCCGGCGTGAGCTGCGATCGCAGACCAGCCCCGCCAGGAGCCCCAGCTACAGCGCAGTGCTGGGCTCCACGAGGCTCCGGGCCACGACATTGCGCCGACAAGCCGCAGCGGTGCCTGGGCCCCCGCAGAGCGAGCGCTCATGGGAGAGCTGCTCCAGCGCCCCCGAACAGGCGTCCCGCAGGCAGGACCCCGTCTGGCTGAGGCTTGGTGCACAGAGGTGACCAGCACCGCGGCACCGGGAGCACAGACGAGGCCTCGGCGCTGATGACCAGGGTCGCACAGCGGAGGAAGCAGCTCACCAGGGCACTGACGGGGGTGGGGGAGGTTACGCAGAGACTCTCCATGGCCAGTCTGCAGCCCCCTCCATGGGGTGCTCGGGCAGAAAAGCCTTCACACGGCCCTGCTGGAGCCTGCGACGGGACCTTCACCCAGACAATAGCGGCACTGAGGAGGGGCGGCCCCAGCAACTCTGGTTTCCCCAAGAATCCGATTATGTGTGTCTGGGGCAAATCCATCCCACCGGGCCTGGGACCAACCCAGACAACCACCGAGCTGCTGGCTATGGCTCAACAGAGCGGGCGTGGCCCGGACACCCCCACCCTAGCTCCACTGGTGCCTCGCAGCCCCCTTCGATCCCAGCCCTGGGTGTCTGTACCTGCCGCACTGGGGGAGGGGAAGGAGGTGCTCGGACATGCCGTGCTGAGGGGGAGGGGAAGGGGGTGTCTGTACCTGCCGTGCTGGGGGAGGGGAAGGAGGTGCTCGGACATGCCGTGCTGAGGGGGAGGGGAAGGGGGTGTCTGTACCTGCCGTGCTGGGGGAGGGGAAGGAG